GATAAATGGGAATCCCAGAGTTCGATAGTAGCGAGGCTGTAGTCATAGAAATTGTGCTTTATGTTAGGGGGTCCAATACTCGTGGACGATCTTGGTGCTTACTTTATCTGGACATAAGGGCCAAAATACCAAATCGCCTCCTCAAACCGTCGCCTCACCAACCGAACAACCAGTCCCTTTGTCTAAGTGACCTGGCTTCCCCGGGTCTACCCACCGTGGAGGCCGTTAAACTTGGTGGATCGTTAAGGGAAGGTGAATTAGTGTTAACTCCAGGAACTCATTAGAAGAAAATTAGTGATTTAAAAGAAAAAGTGATTAGTGATTTAAAAGAAAATTACGTACTTAAACCTACTTAAATCTACTTCTACTTAAACCTAAGACGTAGAAGCGATTTAAGATTATCTCTAGTATCATTGTGGAGTTAACTATGGATTCCAGTACGTCTCCCCCCCCCCCCATACACGCACACCCGAAGTTAGTGGATGGCAGGCCAAGGAACTATAGTCCATTTGTTAGTATTTTTCATGAAATAAATTTGTAAATTCTAACACAGTGTTTCATTTAATCCCATTCTTTTCACTCCTATATTAAGGGACATTGAGCAAGAAGGGAACCACAGAGATACATTAAATGACAGTGACCAGGAAGGGAACCACAGAGATACTAGATACATTAAATAACACTGAACAAGAAGGGAACCACAGAGATACATTAAATGACACTGAACAGGAAGGGAACCACAGAGATACATTAAATAACAGTGACCAGGAAGTGAACCACAGAGATACTGGATACATTAATTAACACTGAGCAAGAAGGGAACCACGGAGAGACATTAAATGACACTGAACAAGAAGGGAACCACAGAGATACATTAAATGACAGTGACCAGGAAGGGAACCACAGAGATACATTAAATGACACTGGACAAGAAGGGAACCACAGAGATACATTAAATGACACTGGACAAGAAGGGAACCACAGAGATACATTAAATGACACTGAACAAGAAGGGAACCACAGAGATACATTAAATGACACTGGACAAGAAGGGAACCACAGAGATACATTAAATGACACTGGACAAGAAGGGAACCACAGAGATGCATTAAATAACACTGAACAAGAAGGGAACCACAGAGATACATTAAATGACACTGGACAAGAAGGGAACCACGGGAATACATTAAACTGAAAAGAAGATACTGGATACATTAATTAACACTGAGCAAGAAGGGAGCCACGGAGATACTAGGTATATTAAATAAAACTGAACAAGAAGGGAACCACAGAGATCCTTTACATAACACTGAACAGGAAGGGAACCACGGAGATACTAGGTATATTAAATAACATTGAACAACAAGGGAACCACAGAGATCCTTTGAATAACACTGAACAGGAAGGGAACCACAGAGATCCTTTAAATAACACTGAACAGGAAGGGAACCACGAAGATACATTGAAAAACACTGAACAGAAGAGAACCACATAAATACTGGATAAATTAAATAACACTGAACAAGAAGGGATTCCACAGTACAAGAGATACAGGGTGGGAGAAACAGTGGCAGACGAAACAAAAGGAAACTACACTCACACCGGTGGAATCACTCGAAGTATATAGACACGAGAAAGACAATATTAAAAGAAGACGCTATTGGTCTCTCGGATAATAATGGTATATATGAATGAGTATCTCGGTAATGGTGGCACATGTATAAATAAAAATTAATATTTAATTCATCGTAAGGTTTTACAGGATTAGGGATGAATACTGGGCCAGGTCCCTCTCACTCGACTCAGCTGTGAATGAGTACTGATATGCTGACGCCAGCATGTTGGGGTTAAGGTCGGGGCGGAAAGGAACTGTCCACCCTACCGCATCATCCCGCGGCTTAGTAAGCATGTTCCTCTGCAAACATGTCCCCTATGTTCACATGGACATGGGACCAACTTTAACTTTTTTGACTGGGACATAATGTTGCCTTATCGATCTGAAGTTTCAAAATAGTATTTCAAAATTTGAAAATAGTATTTCAAAGCAGTATTATATAGGATTTAAAATTAGTTCAAAATAGTATTTCAAAATAGTATTAAATAGTATTTCAAATTCGTATTTCAAAATAGTATTTCAATTTTTCAAAATAGTATTTCAGAATTTCAAAAAAGTATTTAAATTTTTCAAGATAGTATTTCAAAATAGCTTTAGATAGTATTTCAAAATAGTATTTCAAATTTTCAAAATAATATTTCCAAATTAGAAAAATAGTATTTCAAAATTTCAAAATAGTATTTCAAAATTAGAATAATAGTATTTCAATTTCAATTTTTTTTCTTCAAAATTTCAAAATAGTATTTCCAAATTTCAAAATAGTATTTCCAAATAAGAAAAATAGTATTTCAAAATAGTATTAGATAGTATTTCAAAATAGTTTTTCAAAATTTCAAAATAGTATTTCATAATTTCAAATTAGTATTAGATAGTATTTCAAAATAGTATCTCAAAATTTCAAAATAGTATTAGATAGTATTTCAAAATAGTTTTTCAAAATAGAATTAGATGGTATTTTAAATTTTCTTTTTTTTCAAAATTTCAAAAAAAAAATTTCAAAATTTCAAAATAGTTTTTTTCAAAATTTCAAAAGATTTCAAAATAGTAACAGATAGTATTTCAATATAGTATTTCAAAATTTCAAAAATAGTATTTCAAAACAGTATTAAATCTACCTAAAATAAAACAAAGATTGTTGTCAGGGCAGTCCCAGCCTAACACATACACTCAGGCACAAAAATCATAAACACATGCAAAGAAGGGAGAGAAAATATAAAGATCAAAAGATGAAGAGAGAGAGAGAGAGAGAGAGAGAGAGAGAGAGAGAGAGAGAGAGAGAGACAGAGAGAGAGAGACACAGAGACAGAGAGAGAGAGAGAGAGAGAGACAGAGAGAGAGAGACACAGAGACAGAGAGAGAGAGAGAGAGAGAGAGAGTTGGTACATACCCGTACATCGAAATAAATGCGCCCGCACATGGAAGAGAGAGAGAGAGAGAAAGAGAGAGAGAGAGAGAGAGAGCGAGAGAGAGAGAGAGAGAGAGAGCGAGAGAGAGAGAGAGAGAGCGAGAGAGAGAGAGAGAGAAAGAGAGAGAGAGCGAGAGAGAGAGAGTTGGTACATACCCGTACATCGAAATAAATGCGCCCGCACATGGGAGAGAGAGAGAGAGAGAGAGAGAGAAATGGGGTAAGAAACATTGAAATATGGAAGTATGTTCTAACACCCCCCCCCATAGTCAATGCACACATGCTTCTTTCAGTGGATCGTAGACTTCATGGGATCATTCTGGGTAGTTTTGATATACAGCTTTGATAACGGGAGATGGAATAATGCAATACCACATTGATATGTATATATATAACAATCCTCCCTGACCTGGCCTCGAACCTAGGTCACTCCGGGTGTGAGACCGGAGGGCCAGTACTAAACCAACCATGCCACACGACCCACTAAAGGAGTGTGCAACTTGGATATAACTAGCTCCATAGATATTACCTATCTACTCAAACATGAGTAATGATAGCGGGGTTCTACACACACTCCCCGTGGGCACTCGGTGGAAATTGATTTAGAAATTTGAAACCAAAGCCAGATATACTAAAGTATATATGAAAGATGGAATAATGCATTACCGCTATGATATAGATTTATAACAGTCCTCCCTGACCTGGCCTCGAACCTAGGTCACTCCGGGTGTGAGACCGAAGGGCCAGTACTAAACCAACCATGCCACGCGACCAACTAAAAGGAGTGTGCAACTAGGATATAACTAGCTCCATAGATATTACCTATCTACTCATACACGAGTAATGATAGCGAGGTTTTACACACACTCCCCGTGGGCACTCGGTGCAAATTGATCTGATAATAAACTAGAACTAATAATTCAGCTATGAATTGCTTAGTTGTCATACTGCATTGGTTTCACATTTTTTAGAATACTTTAAAAACGCATAAGCTAAGGAGCAGTCCAAATATTCCAACTTTATTATTTCTAATACTCTCCATGCCACGGTACAGTCGAACAAGCCACGAAGTATGTATCAGTGCCAGAAAAGGGCTGCGGAGTTTCTGTGGTAAATACCCCACACGGTCAGTTTACCATTGAAAACGTTCTGTGCATTCCGTAGTGTCGGGTAAATGGTAAAGAAACACAGAGTAACTATGAATGTATGACAGTACAAGCGAAGTTTATCTATTATCTAGTTATCTAGTTTATTTCTATTATCATTGATGTATTGATTATTGCTGCTAGCATTGTAATGACTTTTACTATCTTGATGATTTCTTATAGTTATTCTTATCATTTCTCTATCGTTATTGATATTGTAGTTATTATCGTTTCTCTCCTCCATTCAGGATTATCATTGTCATTAATGTTATCATTATTAACATTTTCATTATCAATAACATTATTTTCATTATTATTACTTTACTGATATAATCATTATTATTTTGATTGTATTAGCATTATTACTTGATCATCATTATCATAACTTTATTATTATTATCATTACTTCATTGATATTACCCTTACCATCATCACCATTATAATTGTTATGATATTCACTACTATTACCTTCAGTGTTTAAGCCATGTGCTGGGAGCTATTTCCCATGAGGCTCCCACGGGGTACTGTCGCCTAACAACTCGGCTCAATCATGTAATACAGTTGCTTCTGAGACTAAAGTGGAAACCAGTTAAGTTACCAGCTTCATTGCATGCAGTCGACTTGCAAAGGCATGATAAAAGCAGGTGTGGTTCATCTGATAGCCAACCTGAAGACAGCAAGATTTGTTAGAATTCTCCGGACTGCAGAGACACCATTGCCAGCTGTCGCCATCTGATTAATCCAATGCCGCCGGGGAAAAGGAATGGAAAAAGGGGGAAAATGCTGTGTTCCCTTTTTTTTATTGTGAATTGTCTCTGCTCATAGATGGCTCTGCTAGTGCTTAGCCACAAAGAAGTCAGTTAGTTGAACTTGTGGCCTTACGTGATTGGAATTGGTTGGAAAAATGTATTTTTTAATAGTGCTAGGAATATCGATGGTGTTATTTTTATTACAAACATCACAATTACTATAATGTTATAAACATTAATAATAGCAAAATAAGATTTAGTAAATTTTAGTAAATTAAAGAAAAGGGCAAACGGGCGAGACAGGCAGTACTCGTAACTGGCTCACTGGTGACTTAGTACAAGTGTAGCCATCTATGTGAAAAAACAACA